TGCCTATATTGGAAGGTATAAGAATGTTGGTGTTGCCCTAGTTTAAAGGACTTACATGCGCAATCTTTTCATAACTGTAATTTTCTGTAACAACTGCTTGTTATGCATAGTGCCTGCACTTTACGATTGGGTCTTCTTCTAGGAATTCATATTTTCATTATTGTATTGCATTTGGACTTAACCACAGTGCTTTGTATTCAATTACAGGCTTCTTATTAGGTTACAGAAGCTAAAATCTTTTAATTTTGCCTCTAGCTAGACTTGAACCGTTGATCTTGACTGTGGAGGGTATGGGAGCTTAACTACTAAGCTATAGGATCCACACCTATTTTCTAATTTTTAATTAATATTAAATTTAGAATTAGATATATATATATAGTTTTTTTTTTTTAAACTTTAATAACAATACCAGTTGGTTTATTAGCTTTAATTTGATATAGTACAAATTTACAGTTATATTTTTTAGGATCAATTATTACTAGTACTATATACTATCTAATTTTATATTACTAACTTTATCTGATTACCCATATGGCACCTAAGTGCATGTCTGCTGCATGCCTGCATACAGTTATCTTAACAACTACTTGTGATTAGAGCATATTATTAAATCACTATACAGACAAGAATACTTACCAAACTTAATATAGTATTCCAAATGCCAAGAGTTTTGTCTTTTGTAAAATATACATATATGTTCTACTTACATGTTTTATCTGGTTTTGTTTCTTCTGCCTCTTAATCTAACTATATCTAGTATTATCTTGTTCTTCACATTTCTTACTTTTTTGTTACTGTACCACTTCCAAATTGGTTTTACTCAGGTATATTTAATCCTTATAATCTTTTCATTTTTGGTATACCTGTTATTGATTCCTTTAAAGTGTTCCGACAATGGTCTAGAATCTGCAAAGAACCTGTATTTCAAGCCAGATCTGCTATCACCATTGGTTTTTTTTGACCAATCTATATCTTAAGCCAGATCTGCTACTGCTATTTCTGCAGATGCCCTGGATCTTAACATTATATAGTAATTCAATGCTATATTTAACCTCCAATATGATGCTCTCTTCTATAGTAGAGACTGAGACTTGTTGTGCTTACAAATAGAACAATTCTGATTATACTCAAGGAGTTTTTCTGATTCTAGTAATACTATACTACTATATATTGCAAGCTCTCAGCTTATTCGATAATATCTACAGGACAATTCTGATTATGCTTCAGAAAGTTATATTAACTTCAGTGATGCCATACTATTTTGCAGATCTTATCTTATATTAGTTGGTTGATCCTAGTCTTGTTCATCATAGACTTCCATATAGGTATGACCAGAAACCCAATTTGGTACTTTTACATTGCACAAGAAAGTTATATGCTAACCTTCAAGATTTTTTTCTTCTATAATTAGATTATTTGGCTATGTTAGAGATGTTTTTAATTTTTGGTTAGACCAATTTTTTATCACAGTTCATCCTCATATTCATTGCTTCTCTTATTATTTCAGTCTTGGTTACTTTTAAAATACTCTCCTAATCAAATTCTCTTTTTGAATTCTAATTAAAACTTATTTGCACAATCAATTGATTATCTTTTCAAGCAAGTATCCTACAAGTTGAGTGCAGGAATGTTGGTACTGTCTATATTAGAAGGTATAAGGATATTGATACTGTCCTAGTCTAAAGGACTTATATGTGCAATCTTTTTATAATCATAACCTTCTGTAACAACCACTTGTTATATATAGTACCTGCATTTTATGATTGGGTCTTCTTCTGAGAATTTCTATTTTCATTATTATACTGCACTTGGACTTAACTACAGAGTTTCGCATTTAATTACAGGCTTCTTATTAGGTTACAGAAGCTAAAATCTTTTAATTTTGCTTTCAGCCAGACTTGAACTGTTGACCTTGACTGTAAAGAGTATAGGAGCTTAACTGCTAAGCTATGGAACCTATACTCTTAGAATTAGATATAAGTTAAAAGCTAATAGATATATAATAATATTATATTTAAATAATTAATTTTATTCTTTTATATTTTTAGCTTTGTTATGCTATTTAAAATAACTTGAAATATATATTAAATTATTAGTAAAGTTGTTAATAAATAATAGCAACTTAAGTTATATTTAATATTAAGCTGATCAGACCAATTCAACTATTTGACCAAATTAGTTTAACTAATAACCAATTTAATTAAATAGTTTAGTTATAAGAAAAATTTATTTAATTTAATTATTATTAAATTTGTATAATAAGATATAACAACTTAGTGAAATATATGTTATCAATTCTTCAAATACTATATTATGAGTTTAAAACTTACTGATAATGAAAATTTAGATAATTATTTATATAATATTTATATTATAATAACTATTTCTAATAATTAGATTAAGATATCTATAATTATAATTATATTAACATGACTGGCAGGTTATAGAATATTTGTGTAATTAGTTATACAAAGAAATACAAACTGATATTAGACAGTGCAAACTTAAAATAAGTTCTTATAATCATATAAATTCATAAAAATTAAGAAACAAAAAGTCTATTTAAGAAGATCCAAGTAAAAATATAATACAGATTTTTAATAGTACTACTATAAAGGCTAAATCTAGAAAACAAATACCAATATGAAGTATCTAAATAGGCAAAAAATTTTAGATGAGAGATATCACTAATCAGATTGTCAGAATTCTAACCAAGAGAACTGGAAAAAAAAATATTAAACTGATTTGATATATTAATAAACTGATTATAGTTCTATTAAGCTATCTGAATTAGAAGTTTAAAGAAAAGTTAAGATATACTATAAATACTAAAGATATGCTATAAAGTAAATGTTAATATATGAGTAAACTCTGCAAAAGCAAGTTTTATTAATATTTTGTAGAATAAATAGGTAGTTAACAGAAAGGCACTCTAAGTTTTACAGTCAAGTGATATGCTTTAAAATTTGATAATAGCTTAACAAATATATAGAAAGAAGACATAATATTAAGTTAGATAATACTTAGATATACCAAAATTAAGATAACTAATTGTCTGAATACAGTATAGAAATCAGAATATTTAATTAGATAGTTTTTTAGTAGATTATAAATATAATAGTTAGTAAAACTTTTAGATAAATTACTTAAATAAGTAACTAAAAGTTACAAATATGACTAGTTGTATGCTTATTCTGTACAAGTAATATATAATATATTAATTAAAAACATAAAGACATTAGTTATCATTAATATTAGCTTTAATAATAATAAAAAAATTTGCTTAATTGTTATATTGCTAGATCATTTTACTAGAAACTCTTTGACTAATAACTAGCAAATTTATAGTTAACTACTAATTTGACTAATACTGATTATATTCTATTTTAAAATTAAAGTTAAGATTTTAAAAATTATATAATAAACTAAAGCAAGCTTATTTTTTATAACTCAAATTATTTTATATATAAAGTAATCTGAAATAAAACCAAATTGCTTTATATAAAGCAAAATCTAAATTTCTCTATTAGGTTGCTTTATATAAATTAATTTGAAACAAATTTTTCTTATAACTTAGATTGTTTTAAAATTTTATCAATTATTTAAAACAATTAGTTATATTAAAATTTTAACTTTACTTATATAATAATTTATTTAATAAAATTAAAAACTTTGTATTTTATTTTTGTATTTTATGTTATGTTATTGTTATGAACAAATTATTTTAGTATTTTACAACTTTTTTTTTAATAAGTTTATTGAAATTTTTTTATATATATTGCAAATCTATTTATTATTTAAATATAATAGAAATGTTGAACAGCTTAGTAATATTATTCATAAAGTTAAAATAGCTAATTTTATAAGTGTTATCAAAGAAAAATCTGTCATTAAGCTTTTAATAATATTTATATCAGATATAATTTAATTTATTAAAAATTATATCTAGTATAAAATAGAATTAAGAGCCTGGTAACAGGTTTTTTATTAGCAGTACTTATATAAAATTGTAATGATGATCTGATCAGATGGTAAAAAAAAAGCAGTGGGATTCACAAGGATTCAAAGAATTGTTATAAGGTAAAGTAAAAACATAAATTCATCTGTTAAATTCATCCTAGTTTTATATAAAGTTAAGCTATCTGAGCTTTTAAAAGAAGTATTGTAAACGTATAAAAAAATTGATTTATTAATTGTATAACTATATCGAATTTGACGGTCGCTTCTGTTGGAGTAGTCTGAAGCAAAACCCGGATTGCTCAATATGGAGTGCTCTGGAGCAAAATTATTCTTATAACCCGGAGCATTAACCCGGAGCAACCAACCCGGAGTACAATCCGGAGCGTTAAATTTGAAATATAACCCGGGTTGGGTTAGAGAAAGGCTTGCTTCATTTGGTTTTAACCCAACCCACTCCACTTCACTCCATTAACAACCCCAGTAATTAGTAAGGATGGTTAAAGCAAGGTGCGTTAGAGTTACTTTTTGATGCATTAATGGTTACTTTTTTTGATGCAAATATGATTAATAGTTTATATAGATATCAATAAAGTAATTTATGCAGGATGTAGATTATTTCCAAATTTAGGGGACGTCTAAAGCGGAGTTGATTCTTTATAATATATTTTATAGAATTAACTTTAGGGTTAGGGCCATTCTTAGGTTGGGTTTTTAAAAACTTAAATAGCCTTTCCGACATTTTTAATTAACCTACCCGAGATAGATTTAGACTGCCGTTTTTCGTATTTTTGGTATCATATGGGTCTGTGCCTTGAAAATGATCTTACGAACTATGTAGATTTTATGAGGTTTTTTTTTCGTTTTTGCTCGCCGGCGATCATCAAAACTATATGTTTTGATTGGCCCATGACCACGTGATTATGATCCGCTCTAGCCTCGAATTTATACCAAACGCACTAACCTACTAATGGGCAACCAATCAGATTGATTTTATTTGCAGCCAATAAAATAGAACTTAATTATTTTGCACGATAGGATCCATGGCTACTAAAGAAGAGATAATTAACGCAAAGGTTGCTCTTGATAACAGATTTTTAGGCCTGCTTTTCCGGCAAAGCGTGGATCGTGGCCAAGATCGTTACAAAGAAGTAATATCCGAAACTGTTCCTTTTAGGCAGGAAAATATTATTCCACTTCCACCGCGTTTGCGCGAAATTGTTGAAAGTATCCTTAATACGAAATAGTAAATAAAATTCGTGACCGTTGGTTTACAGGACACTTTCGATATTGTATTTGATAATAGTTCAAGCACGTACGAATCCTTATTATTTGAACAACAGGCACTACGCATGGAATTCACGTTCTTTTAGGCTGTTTACCTTACATAAACGCGGTTTATTTCGTGGTAAATGACAATTTATTCATTTGGGAATACGATAAAGGGTAAATTATTCTTTTATTCTCCCATTTTCATCTTTATGCGTCTTTGCTCTCGATCTTGCACATATCGTTCTTGATGCTATTTATCAACAATTTTCATAAATATCGGCTTAAAGTTATCATATCATCCAACTAGAAATAACGATAATGCTATTGCACATATCGATGTACATCCACTACAAGATCAGATCATAAAAGGTGTAGGACTTGTTAAACCAAAAGCTGGTACGTGATGCTATTCCAAGTTTACAAAAACTTCAATTTCAACTTATTGATAATTTTTGATTTTTCTTTTTTTAGGCCGTTTCATTGATAATGCCCATTATGTCTTAGTTATTGCTACGGACAAGGCAATTTACGTGTTTGGTTTCAGCTCAACTCCTGATGGGATAATTTTTCACGATATGTCGTCAGACAGATATCGAACAGATTATAGCAAGAAAGAGATTGGCTCCATAATCGGTACTGATGATGGTCGCATTTTCCTAATAGATGCTGGTGAACTCTGTGAGCTTGTTTATGAGGTAGTTCCGATTACGTTGTTTCAATACTCGAGGCATTAATTTGCATTATAGTAACATCATAGATATTTAATTTAGGATGAAGGTTGGTTTTCAAAACCATGTAGACTAGAAATTCATTCTCAGAGCTCTATTAGTCAACATTTACGATGGATCTGGCAAACGTCCTGTAAGTACATATAATTTGTTATGTGAAGTTGTGTTATTGTCTATGTTTGACTGTTAACATTTGCATCATGATGTTTAAGCGGACTACAAATCTATCGCAATTGACGATACGCGACATATGTTATACGTTATGTCTGCTTATCGTATTGAGGTATACCGATTCATATTATTCCTATAATGGATAAATATGTATAGTTGTAATATTTTATTTACCCTTGCCAATTTTTGTAGGCATTTTATATACAAAAAGATGCTGCATTGAGATTAATAGGAACATATTCAATTAATGATGATAAATCGATGATGCTTAAAGGACATTTGGTGTCAATACATTCAATACTGAATACCGATTCGCCTTATTTCTGGCTTCTTGCTGTGACAAATACGGGTAAGGTCAATTATAGTATTGGGGCATTGGTAAGAGATATACATCATTATTTTACGAATTCAATACGTAGGGCACCGTGGATATTTTACTTGCTATATGGGAAATAGAGGGTATAATTGGTGGTTATACTCAGAAACACCTGCAATGCTAAAAACAAAAGAACCAAATGGTTTATATATACTTGAAGTACATGATCCACCACCTCAGAATCAGCAACCCATGCCTCAACAAACTAGGTTGGAGTATCAGAAATTCCGTTATTCACATGGTATCTTCTTTGCACAACGTAGAGAAGGCGGTATAGAAATGTTGTCTACCACAAGTCCCAATTATGGTCTAATGTTTAGTAGATTTATTCAGGTATATCAGCTCTAATGATAATTACGCAAAGCGGGTTTATGTTCTAAATTATAGTTTATTTATGTACTAGAATCAAGAACCAATTTTTTCTGAGCATCATTATACTGCACCTCTTCCAAGCATCTTTGATATTCAGGAAGTTTATGATCCACTATATGACCCCAAAAAATCAGATGAATATTCAAATGAATTGATAAATCAGTTCAATGCTCCAACTCGAAAATTCATTTTGTATACTTTAAACGGTAATATTTTTTAATTTAGATTTACTCAAAAAAGCAACAAAAGTTTTCAGTCTTTGTCATACAATTTTTGCAAGATATTTTGGTTATTGATTAGAGCTTGGATTAACCCTTAATAGGAATTATAATTTGGGCAAAACAGCGGCCTGTTGACCACTTGGAAAATATGCTTAAAAAAAGTCATAATAGAGAGGCATTAAAGTCCTTTATTGAAAAGTATGAATTTTCCATATTTGGATAAGGAAATTTGGCGTTCATAACTAGTTATAACTGTCATCTTTTTTCCAGCTATGGAACCGAACAGACTACAGCAATGTGTCTATTGATTGCGAATAATGAAAGTCACGCGTTTATGCAAACTTTTGCAGGTTAGTTAATTATATCTGTAATAATTAAAGTTGTTCTTCAATTTATTCAATAAGCATTTATTTAAACATATATCTAGCCTCGTATAATACGATATATGAAGGATTTGCTTTTTGCCTAGCTAGGATACTTCGTCCTATTTGGCGTCAAAGAATTCTCAAACCAAGGTCTGCATAACTCATATTTTGATGCACAATTTTTTAAATTGGGTTTATGTAGTAATAAAGTTATTCATAATGGATGATTTTATATGTTACAGAAAGTTTTTTTTTTTGCTATAGCTAAGTTCGTAATATTCTTACTAAAATATTAATATATTTTCATATACAGCCCTAACAATACCAACCCTGATAGACGTGATACGAATATTCCTGAGCTAATACTTAAAAGCATAGTCTTTAAATTAACGAAATTAAAAGAGTTTTGTGATAGGTAATGATTTACTATCTTGTCCAATGTCTGTTTTGTTGCTATGTTACTAAAAATAGTTACATTTTGATAGACATCCGATGTTCAAGTCGCCTCCGCAAATGCTCGGTGATGCTTCAACTGTATGACAAGTATTCAATAATGTTTCGCATAATTATGTCTATTATTTCATAATAAGTATTTATAATTTTAATAGGCACAGAGCGCATCATTAAGTTCTTTATACGATTTGCTTGTTACGCTCTCTGATGCAATAGGTTTCATATTGCTTATGATTGAATACAATTTACCAGAAATTATAGCAAAGTGAGTGTTTTTCATACGCATTTTGAATAGAACTTTACCCTTTAAAATATTACTCTTACGATTCAAGAACATTATATAGTATTTCCAAGAGTTCACAACAAGTCGTCTTTCAATCGACTTATGAAAAATTGGTTACGGATCAACAGGTCAGAAGCAGTTGGCATGATCTGGTACTCGCGATAATTAAAAGAGAAAGCGGACGAGTAAGTATAATCAATAATTTTAGAATTATTAAATATAGGGTGGCTTCTTTATCTCTTCACCATATGTAGGTTGATAATCTCAGTCGTAATCTAGAATTACGTTGTCCTACTTTTTGTAATGCGGCAGAAACAAAAATGTACCAGGTATTTCCATTGATATTAAGGCAATTACAAATATTGCGTAATATTTTATTATAAGCTTACCATCAGCAAGAAATTTCTATTACCAATAAAAAAATATAACGATCCCAATAAAGAACGCATATTATCTCTGACAACCTAAGATATTATGTAATATTTGTCATAGCCTTATATGAAAAAATTTAAGCCACGATTCGCAAACAAGTGTCACATTATTGTTTATTATAGGGTTATGAAGCATTGCAAAGAGCTAAGAAGAATGAAGACGAACATACGACCAAAGAAGCATTACGGAATTCACTTAAGTATGCTATTTTATAAATTAATTTCGAGATTGTTTTATGACATTAACTTGATATGAATAACTTGTTCTAAAGCATATTTTGTGAGTGTATCAATATTTTGACATACGGAACTTTAAATAATCTATGTCAAGATTATAAGACTTTTGGATTTTATGAAGGTATATAATTTCAGATATGGAATCTCAAATTTTATTTTGGGCGTTTGACACAATATATTTTTACTAGGAGCAATTGAGCTTTTATTGAAAGCAGCACAAAGTTTTGACCTAGTACCTGAAAAGCGTAACTCAATTCTCGATCTCGTCATTGATACTTTACGAGACGCCGGCGTTTTTGCAGATGGAATTCAACGTATGTATCTAAATATATCTATTTTAATATTGTAAGAAATAATCATGAAAAGCTTTATCTGCATTCATTCACGTAGGTCATGCGCATTCGTTTAGCCCGGTTCTTCAGAAGGCACTCAATTTAGGAACTTCACTAAACGACAGAACCTTCCTTTTCGCTGTCTATGACGAATTTTTAGGCGCTGATTCAATTCCGCAATTATTTCAGGTAGTAACAATTCTTTTTATGCTAGTGTATTTAAAGTTACTTTATGGATTAATTTATGGATCTATAAATCATCGATAATCTTATAGCCGCCTGCGCCATATCTTGAGGAATATTTGAATTCATCTACCGATCTTACGTCACCAATTACCAGAAAAAAGTTGGATTTATACTGTGATTTCTGTGTTACGCATCGTCAGTACCTCAAAGCTGCTAAAGTCAAAGAATATATAGCGAAAAACCCTGGGTAAGTGAATCTTTGTCTGTTTCCTGTGTACAAGTAGACCTTAATAGAGGCTGGTAGGTATGTAATGGCCCATTAAAATCAAACATAAGCAGGGTTGTTTATGATCATCACTAGTGCACCTAATGGTGTTGATCTGAACGACCCGAAATCATGACCTATATAGTAAATTTACTATAACTGAGTCAGTTTCAGGTCAATCCAATTAGTGCACTAATCATCACGAATTGCGGATTTTTTAACGGTTAGCGGAGTAAATTACATTCTTCGGCTTAGTAGCCAAGTTGTATATATATATTTTTTTTTAAAAAAAAAGTGAAGTTACTGACTAGCTTCACACTGTAATAGCCATGTTTGCGCCTAAAAATAATTGAAAATTTAAAATATTTTGTATAGATAAAAATAATCTGCAATTAGTGATGGTCATAAGTGACCTGCCTGTGTATGATTTTAATAGGCCATTGCACACTGGGCTGGACACTAGTAGTACCATAGCTAGGGTTCAGGGCATGGGGGTGTGATGATAGTAAATTGTAACATAGGAACATGAGACATATTATTGATTTTTTTCACGTGACGATTTACCATCATGTGCATGTCCAATGTGATGATTTTCCGTGCCATGAACCCTTACCATAACCCTACCCGTTTGCGTAAGGGCTTAATTTCCCAAGCCATTACTCTTGCCTAGGGTCTGGAAAGCGATACACTAGCCCGGTACTTTAGCTAAATGCGGTCGTGGTAACCTGGCCCTATCCGTCTGTGTAAAGGTTCATTTTTCGAGCTCTTATCCTTATCCTAGAGCTCAAAAATTAATGGTTCTTGTACGATACCCACGAGTAGATCAGAGATCTAAGCAGAAGGAATAAGAATTAAATGATAATATTAATCATATTTTATTAATAGAAGTGGCATTAACCTACAAGAACGGTTACATTATTTAAGTCATGCTGTGGGTCAGGCTGAAAGTGCTAAAGAATTGAGCGAAACCAGGGATGTTATCGAAGCTTTGCATAAATACCGTAATGACCTGGAAGTCTGTATTTCATAGTTTTTTTTTTTTTTTTCTTTTGTGCTAAATATTAACTCTGCGTTTGATATGAATCTAGCTTGCACAAATTCAATTTGACATTTATATGGCGATATATAGCATTCCTGATATCGAATATAACAACCTGGCAGTATTAAAAGGGAAGCCGGATAAAGCAGCAATGCTTGCACGCCTCGATCAACAGCTCTATGACGCACAAACTGTACGAATAATTTTTTACACTATTTAATGTTGTTATTATGTTTGATTTTCATTAAATTTATATAAATATTGCTAGCTTTTGAAAGAATTTGTAATTCCGTTTGGCTTAGTTGAAAGAGAGCTCTCTTTAGTACATGCCGTAGAAGTTATACCTAGTCGCGAAGATATAAGTCAAATTTGGAAAAAAATAATGCAAAAAGGTAGATATTAAGTATAAATGCACTTCAATATATAGGCAATTTATTTAATTATACATTCTTTTCCTATGAAGCCACGAAAAAGGCAGGAGAGACTGGATCGTTACAACCGATAACTGAAGTTGTAGTAGAATCCGGGCGAAAATATTACCCGCATGATCTGCGAGTGTTTCCGATGGGTAGATAGACATTTGATGCTTTTTTATATTGCACCTAAAATTTAAATTTATCATACTATAACAATTTCCTCAACAGATACAATAGTAGGTGAAATAGCAGATTATTTAATTAAGAGGCGTATCGATGAACCCGGTTGTATTGCAGGGATTTTGAAGCAGGCGAATGTTGCGTTTTGTGATCTATTTAATACGTTTAATACTCTCATTTCATTTAGGGTAAGTTTCTATACTTGATGTTATTGGTTTACATTAATTTATAGCGCATTAGATGCAATGATAACTATTATGTTCAGAGCGCACCATTCAATAGTCAAGAAGGAATCTGCTTATTGCTAAAAGAGCTTGCGTTTATTTTAAATCTATGGATGAAGTCTGTTGAGGAACGGTAATTTGATTTGTCTTTATTTTACTTTTCTCAGCGTTCCTTAGAATAGTATTTAAATTTCTTATTAATAATTATATAGTTATGATATTGAACCAAGAAGCATCCACGGAATGGTATCAAACTACTTGACATTAATAGATCATCACTCACTTGGGCAAAGCTTTTCACATGAATTTTTAGAAATTCAAAGAAAACTTGAAACATTTTCAACAATCATGGAATATTAAATTATATGTAGAATTAATTTGAGTTTTTCCTTTCAGTTGTGTATAATATCACCTTGCCCAGAGATTGAAATTTTGAACTATAAATAGAATAACTAAACAACTAAACATAATTTTGCCAATATAAAGTTCTTTGATAGTTAACAGCAATTTAATATTACAAGTTATATGAATCTATATTTCAATGGTTTCACTCATAATATAAAGTATCCGCATGAGTTTTATGACCGTGTAATTTGAATTTGTAAATTTTGCAATATCTATACAAAGACCACGTTCACTTCACTTTCTATTGGGAGTCCATAAACTTTCACAAAAAAATTTTCCGGAACATGATCATAGCCAATTATATTGAAGGAGCAGGTGTAACGTGAAAATCACGTCTTTTTAAAAAATCGAAATTTTAGAAATTTTAGTATAAGCGATTGTTTTGATTTTACGTTACACCTGATCCTTGAACTACCCCAGGATCGCCGTCAAATTTTCACTTTCACGTGATGATCATCCAATAGTGTATTTCGTTTTAATGTAACGTTACACGATCAGGAAGATCAAAACAAAACGTTCGCTTTTCAAAAATCGCTTATTCCTCAAAAACTTGCATAAGAAACCACCTTTTGAGCTCTAACAAAAAAAATTCCTCGAGTGATTTTACTATTACTCTTCTAAAACCTAGCCCTATTATAAACGCTAACCCTAACTTAAACGAATTTAAAGATATTTAAACGCGGTCACGTGAAAGTGAAAATTTTGACGGCGATACTGGGGAAGATCCTGATCCTTGGCAAATATCACGTGCCGGGAAATTTTTTGTGGGTGAGTTACTAATGTCCTTAAAAATTTTCTCTATCGCTAAGTATCGCTCTTTCATAAAATGAGTAAAACAAAAGCTGTCAAAATCGCGGTTATTGGCGGAAGTGGCCTTTATAAATTTGACCATTTAACCCCGATAAGAGAAATTTGTCCGGAAACTGTGAGTGTTGCTAAACAGAGTTTGATTAATTTTGCATGAATGACTACTGAATTTACGTAATTTAATATAAGCCATGGGGTTATCCTAGCAGTAACATCGTTATAGTTGAGGACTCTCGTGGTTCTCAAATTGCTTTTCTTTCTCGACATGGCGTTGGACATCAGTACAGTCCTTCTGAAGTGCCGTCGAGGGCAAACATAGCTGCCTTGAAACATATTGGTGTGGAAGTTATTATCGCCTTTTCAGCTGTTGGATCTCTTAGAGAAGAAATAAAACATCAAGACTTTGTCCTTCCAGATCAGATTATAGATCGGACTAAAGGAATTCGACCTTTTACCTTTTTTGAAGGTGGAATCGTAGCTCATACAACATTCGCAGATCCTTTTAGTCCATTACTTTCCGAAATTGTTTATTCCCATCGACATTGTCTTGGAGAAAACATCACTTTACATCGCAACAAAACGGTTGTATGTATAGAAGGACCTGCGTTTAGTACAAGAGCTGAATCACACTTATATCGAAGTTGGGGATGTGACGTTATTAACATGTCTGCATTGCCCGAAGCAAAATTGGCTAAAGAAGCTGAAATTGCTTATCAAATGATATGTATGTCAACTGATTATGATTGTTGGAAGCAAGATGAAGAATCGGTTTCTGTTGAAGTGGTAATTTCAAATTTAAAGCAGAATGCAGATAATGCAAAAAAATTATTAGTAGAAATTTTGCCAGACTTAGAGAAGGCGTTGGAGGAAGGAAAGTTTGAGGAAATGAAGGGAATTATGAAAGGATCTTGTATTACCAGCAAAGAAGTTAGGAATGAAGTTAGAAGTCAAGAAGCAATTAGAAAGCTAGAGTATATTTTGCCTGGTTATTTTAGTTAAAATTTTATTTGAGAATTATATTAAAATTATGATTTATACATTTGATCCTATCAAATTAATAACTGATAATTGATTTGTGAATGTGTCTTAATATATGTTTAAAAAAACCCATTGGACACTATTTACGGTCTTCCTGCAGGTTTTTTTTGACAATTTTAGTTATATAACAAAGAATTAAAAGAAATGTTTTAAAAAATAGTATTAGACTTACCACCATGATTATGTGATAACCAAATTGCGTTTTTATCTATAAGTTGCATAAACATTATCAGTAAAACATACATTATAACAGCCAAACGATCAGAGTATGTAATTTCGACATATACCGGTGGATTGGTAAATATTGGTTTATCTGTGTTTATATTTGAAAGTAAAATTAGCTTGAATATAAAACCCTTACGCATAAATAATTATGAGATAGTTACCTAATGAACTTGGTTGTAACGCGAATGCAGCTTCTTGGAATGGACCTACCATTGACCCACGGGCCATCCATCCAAGACTCCCTATGTATTTATGAGTCAATAATGCTGAATAAAAAGAATTATTAAACCGTAAAACTTATTCATTACCTCCATGCTGTGCTTTATCTTCGCTATAGTCTTTTGCCACCTATTGATCAAATTAATTAATATAATCTAGTCCCTGATTTATTTTTATCGATTCGAAACTTACCTTATCAAATCGTATATTATCCACAGTTAATTTTTCCATGGCTTCCATGACCTTTGTTGAAAATAATGAATTAGTTACCAGAATGTATTATGTAATATCGATCACACTTGTATTAAATTACCTTGGAGTGTTTCTCACATAAAATATGTCTGACCTGTATTATTATATTTTCAGATATTGTATTTAAACACGTTTTTATAATAAAGCATAAGACATGCCTTTACACTGTTGGCCGCTTTTAGTTTCCCGGCCTTTCCGGACTTTGATTCCCCATCGTCTAAAAAAAAAAGACAAGGCTTAATCACATAATTTTATAGCAATAATTGAAAAATTATTATGTCAACCTACCATCGTCCGTAGTTTTTTTATTAGCTTTGCCTTTACCAGCATTTCCTGAACTATTTTTGGTCTTACCCATATCGATATCGATATATCGATACGAAATTCAAAATTTACGATATAAAACTATTGACGAAAAACCAGGTCTGATCCGTAGATCTATTGCTTGTATTACGTAAATATACATACATCATGGTTACTAAATGAATGCTGACTCCATCTTTTTTTTTTTATACACATATTTTTCTCACTTCAAACTTTTTCAATAATTAAAAATGCCAGTCAAAAGAAGCCTCAAACAAGACGAACCAAAAACTTATGAAACACCAGATAGTGTGCCAGTAAAAAGAAATAAGCAGGACGTGAATTGGGAGGTTGAGTTTTTCTTTCAGTTACTACCTTTCACTTTACCGGAACCCGACGCCTCCCATAAATTCAGGGCTTTGAAAGATTTACAAGAGGACAAGACTAAAATATCCGAACCTGACACAACATACTTTGTTGACCCTTACGACAGCGTCTATGAAGCGGACGTCTCTTCAGTGTCTTCAGACGAGGATTCCGAATCTTTAGGCGGTGAACGTTTGGACTTTGAAAGCGCGGAAGAGAGTGATTATGAGGTGATTGCTCCGAAGAAGAAACGTTGCGGAGCTATGTGGAGTTCACAATGTCGTCGTGCGGGTCGTTGTATCTGCGTGGACTAGAGGTTGGAATCGAAATTCAACTAACTGAATATTCGAATTAATTTATAATAAGTATGAATTTGAATTAATTCGAATATTCAAAACGTTATAAAACCGTTATATAACGTTATATAGCCGTTATAACCGTTATATAACCGTTACATAGCTGTTACATGGCTGTTACAAAGCCGTTATTATAAAACAAGATCTCGCATGATCAACCGCAGAGAGATCATATCAGGAAGAAAAAAAGATGTGTATGGATGAGATGGTTTAAATGATTGTAACTGGATGTGAGTGAACGAGTAAAGAATGATTTATTAGTTGAGTGAGTGTTAATAAAAGTGGGATAATTTATGGTTCATGATTGGTGACGGTTTTGATGATTGTTTTATTTTATAAAAAAGAAAGTATATTATTATAAGAATAAATTTATGTAAGATGATTAACAGATTTTTGAAAGATACAATTTGTTTAAAAGAGGTAAAGAAAACTCTAATCTCATGTATTAATTTATGCGGTAATTTTTGTAGCGTATTATTCAGTTTTTTTTTTTTTTTTTTGTTAATTAGCTCAAAAATAAGGTATCTATATTGTACGTATAATCGAGTGTTAGGTGTAAGTTTTTTACGATTTTTAGGTTGATGTGTAACGCGTAGGATTATAGGAGGAACTTGTCCGTATTCTTTTTGGGATGTTGTTTTAGTGTTCGTAGTATAAAAAATCGCTGTTAATCGTGGAGTTGTAAGTGAATCGGATAATGTATATGCGTGTTATAGCGAAATTCGGAGGATGAAAAAACTGTACCGTTTTGTGTATTGCGATATATTTTTAAATCAATAGGATCATAAGATTGGGTTGTATGTTTTTGAGTTATATTATAAGTAGTTAATAAGAAAAGAATATTATAATAAAGTTAAGTGTAATGAATAAAAGTTTATTATTTATTTTGTAGATTGCAGCCAATAAGGCAAATTGACATTACTTTCACAGCTCATATCTCGATCATCAAGATAGTTACAAAATCTATCGAGATATGAGCTGTGAAAGTTAAGGTATTGGTTTTTTTAAAAAAATGTCAATTTGCCTTATTTCTATCGACAGCTGCTCATATGTTGTATTTAATCTTTTATATTCATTGTCCTCAGCTACGCTTCGGACATTATATTTCTAGACATTGAAAATCGACATTAGTAGTTCACCCACAAGATTTTTATTGGCACGTGATTTATGGCCAATTAGATCATCAAAACAATCGAATTAAGCGAAAGATTTTAAAGTAATAAGCATCACTTTAGATTTAGGATTAAGGATAGCTTACACGAGAAATTTTTTTTAGAAGAGGTAAAATTTCGAGTTAAAAAGACGTGATTTTCACGTTACACCTGATCCTTCAATCTAATTGGCCATGGACAACAGGAGGAAACGTTGATGTTACACGATTGATTTTACACGCGGTGTGAAACACATAGCATAGCAGACAATCGTATGATTGGTTGTTAATCGTCGATCATCAGGTGATATGATCAACAAAAATATCAAAGGTGATTGGTCGTTATTTTTTATTATCAATTACTGTATATTTAATATATATTTTTAATTAAAGCTCAATTAAATAATTTTGACTTATTTATTTTAAATTCAATGCATTCTATTACTGTACAGTGCTGCATATAGTACCTCGAGTATTTGCAGTGCTGTACAGTATATTATTTTAATTTTAAAAAATTATTTATTAAATATTTAAAAAATTATTTATTAATTGTAATTATATATTTAAAAAATTATTATGTGTTTAAAAAATCATTATGTGTTTAAAAAAATATTATTATGCATTTAAAAATTTATCTAAAGTTACACTACAAGCTTTGTTAACTCTATTTAATGCACTCTTGTTTTTTTCTAATTGTGCAAAAATATCAATTTCTAAAGACAAATCATTATCTTCTTTATTTTTTAATTTTTTTTGTTTTTTAGATACTTTATTTTCTACAAGATCTTTCACATCCTGTTTTGTTAGTCATGTAATTAAAGAAAAAACATTTAGTTAAATGTTCTGTTCAAGAAAAATCTGACAATAAAAACATTTTTGATAAAAATTATTAAAACAATTTGTATGATATTTATAATCATATACAAGTATAATAGGTTTTTAATAGCAATGTTTAAAAATTCATCACTATAATCACATCTGTCTTTTGCTAGTATATAATTGCTACTAAATCCTAATGACATTTGTTTTTTATTTGTTATGATGTTCAAATCTGCAAGACAAAATTAATATTCTTCTTTAGCAATCTGAATACTTTTATTTTTTCTAAATTTTTGAAAACCTTAAATGTTTGGAGTAGAAAAATCCTTATCTTGATTGTAAGTGGCAATAAATATTCTTTATTAAAATAAGTATTATTTTTCTTAGTAATGAAAATTTTCTTAAAGGTATCTATAGTTTTCCTTAAATTAGCTATTTTGCCTTTTTGAAAAGTTGCATAGCTGAATCTAATAGAGACGATTGTCTTCGAATAATATTATACATATTTTCAACAGAATAATTTGAAAATCTAACTAGATGTTTGATTAGTATATTAAGTATCAGATAATTATTTTTTATCCAATAAAATATATCTGAAAGAAATATTAATGATGCTTTGTTATAATTGCGTTTATCAAATCGCAAAAAAATAACCTATATATGAAAAATACCCTCCAAATATGACTTCTACTCGCCTGATCAAAAAAAAATCGAGTAAATGTCCATTCCTAATAGGATAGTGTAGTCAAGCAGATCAATAAAAAATAGATATTTCAAATTTTTATAATATTTTCCGAATTTATTAATTATAGTTAGTTTGATATCTTTCTAAGCATTTCTTGCTAAATCCATAAGAAGAAATGCACAGTATAGACTTGGATTTTGAGAAAGATTCTTTGAAGTACAAAACAAATATTTGTACTCTATATTAAAAAAACTCCAAAAGTTTGTTAATATAGAATTGACCAAATTGAATTGCATATGCAATGCACCAATTATTGATATAAACGATAAAACTATGTCTAAAAATTTAATAACATTTGTTAACTTAACAACTAATCGAATATATAAATAAAATACATTGAATATTATATTGCTAACAGTTTTGCTTTAAGGGTAGAGGGCACATAGATCATTTTTATATAGTTATGTATGGTATATTAAAATTTTCATCTAAAATTGATATATGCTACTAATAAAACTTT